AGAAGTAAAACTGTCACTGTTTGCAGATGACATGATACTATACATAGAGAATCCTAAAGATGCTACTAGAAAACTACTAGAGCTAATCAACGAATTTGGTAAAGTAGCAGGATACAAAATTAATGCATGGAAATCTCTTGCCTTCTTATACACTAATGATGAAAACTCTGAAAGGGAAATTAAGGAAACACTCCCATTTACCATTGCAACAAAAAGAAAAAAATACCTAGGAATAAACCTACCTAATGAGACAAAAGACCTGTATGCAAAAAACAATAAGACACTGATGAAAGAAATTAAAGATGATACAAAGAGATGGAGAGATGTATATACCATGTTCTCGGACTGGAAGAATCAATATTGTGAAAATGACTATACTACCCAAAGCAATCTACAGATTCAAGGCAATCCCTATCAGACTACCAATGGTATTTTTCACAGAACTAGAACAAAAAATTGCAAAATTTGTATGGAAACACAGAAGACCCTGAATAGCCAAAGCAATCTTGGGGAAGAAGAACGGAGCTGGAGGAATCAGGCTCCCTGACTTCAGACTATACTACAAAGCTACAGTAATCAAGACAGTATGGTACTGGCACAAAAACACAAAGATAGATCAATGGAAGAGGATAGAAACCCCAGAGATAAACCCATGCACATATGGTTACCTTATTTTTGATAAATGAGGCAAGAACATACCATGGAGAAAAGACAGCCTCTTCTATAAGTGGTGCTGGGAAAACTGGACACCTACATGTAAAAGAGTGAAATTAGAACACTCCCTAACACCATACACAAAAATAAAATCAAAATGGATTAAAGACCTAAATGTAAGTCCAGAAAGTATAAAACTCTTAGAGGAAAACACAGAACACTCTCTGACATGAATCACAGTAAGATTCTTTTTGACCCACCTCCTAGAGAAATGGAAATAAAAACAAAAATAAACAAATGGGACCTAATGAAACTTCAAAGCTTTTGCACAGCAAAGGACACCATAAGCAAGACGAGAAGACAACCCTTAGAATGAGAGAAAATATTTGCAAACGAAGCAACTGACAAAGGATTAATCTCAAAATATACAAGCAGTTCATGCAGCTCAATATCAAAAAAACAAACAACCCAATCCAAAAGTGGGCAGAAGAGCTAAATAGACATTTCTCCAAAGAAGATATACAGGTTGCCAACAAACACATGAAAGGATGCTCAATATCACTTATCATTAGAGAAATGCAAATCAAAAGTACAATGAGGTATCACCTCACACCAGTCAGAATGGCCATCATCAAAAAATCTACAAACAATAAATGCTGGAGAGGGTGTGAGAAAAGGGAACTCTCTTGCACTGTTGGTGGGAATGTAAATTGATACAGCCACTATGGAGAACAGTATGGATGTTCCTCAAAAAAGTAAAAATAGAACTACCATATAATCCAGCAATCCCACTACTGGGCATATACCCTGAGAAAACTATAATTCAAAAAGAGTCATGTTCACTGCAGCACTATTTACATTAGGCAGGACATGGAAGTAACCTAAGTGTCCATTGACAGATGAATGGATAAAGAAGATGTGGCACATACATACAATGGAATATTACTCAGCCATAAAAAGAAATGAAATTGAGTTATTTGCAGTGAGGTGGATGGAGCTAGAGTCTGTCATGCAGAGTGAAGTAAGTCAGAAAGAGAAAAACAAATACAGTATTCTATCACATACGTATGGAATCTAAAAAAAAAAAAAATGGTTCTGAAGAACCTAGGGGCAGGACAGGAATAAAGATACAGATGTAGAAAATGGACTTGAGGACACAGGGAGGGGGAAGGGTAAGCTGGGACGAAGTGAGAGAGTAGCATTGACATATATACACTACCAAATGTAAAACAGACAGCTACTGGGAAGCAGCTCCATGGCACGGGGCAATCAGCTTGGTGCTTTGTGACCACCTAGAGGGATGGGATAAGGAGGATGGGGAGGAGATGCAAGAGGGAAGAGATATGGGAATATATGTATACATATAGCTGATTCACTTTGGTATACAACAGAAACTAATACAACATTGTAAAGCAATTATACTCTAATAAAAATGTTTAAAAAAATGAATAAAACTCAAGATGAAGACACACTTAGCACAGTGACGGGGCCTTTCAGATGTTTAGAGAGGCCTAGCTATTTTTATTTTTTGAGGCTTTTGGTAAGTTAAAAAGAAAAAAGGGGGGGGATGCTGAAGAGGCATTTTTAACTTTCAAAAAATGAAAAACCTTCACGTCAAGTCTAAATTTTAAGACTTTAGGGATGTGAAGCTGGGGACAAGCAGCTCTCCTGGGCCCCCCGTAATAGGCCCTGGTTTTACAGTTTTTCCACAGTGGAAGTGGCTATGTAACCAGGCTGGTTAGTCTGATCAGAACATCATTTCACCACAATCTGTTCTTGGGGCTCTCAGCCTCTGGGCAAGAGTTCCTCTAAAAACAGAGCATGAGACAAGGATTGGATGCAGGTAGATTTTGGGGGAGGTGATATCAGGAAGTGAGCGAGTGGGGAGAGTGAAACAAGGAAGAGAGAAGGGCCAGTGAAATACACGTTGAGCAGGTCACTGCTGTGTGCATGAGGGGGCTTGCTCCCGCTGGAAACCCTCTAAGGAACCACCTAGAATGCATCTCAGAATTCTTCAGAGGAGCAAGACTGGATAGTTATCCATCAACTCTAAAACCTCACTGGCTGAGGGCTGCCCCTGGGGCTGCAGACTCTCCCAGGCTTCCCAGACCACAGCCAGCTGCCTGTGAAGGGGCTCTGAGTCAGCACAGTTGACAAGACTGGGTGCTGGAAGTCATGCTGCCCGCAGGCCAGGGTGCCGCCCACTGCAGCCGTAGCTGAGACATAGGGTGGGCTGAGGAGATGGGACACAGGAAAAAAGGAAAAAAAGGGCTGCCATACATTCTAAGTCTATGATCTTCGTGCTTTACAAAAGGCCAAGAGCCCCTAGCACTCCTCCCTCCCCACTACGCCTCAAGTTCTAATAGAAGCTATTGATACTACTGGCAAAAACAAGGGGAATTCCTGTGTTGTGACAAGTTGACAATTTGACATCATATGCTACACTAAAAGGGGTTAACAGATAAAAATTGTAACACATCAAACCAACCTTATTACCCTACAAACAAACAATGCACTCCCCCTGCCCAAAGAACCAAGCAAATGGAATCTTCCTGCCCACATGACAGTATTTACTTACTTCTTCCACTTTTGATCAATTCTGTTATATACTTTTCACAGTTTAACGGCTCTAAAATTGGCAATGTCATAATTTAATTGGTAGTGTTGTGCTTTCTTAATGGCATATAACATGGTGTTTCTTATCAGTTATGGTGTTTTATATTTGATGAAATATGTTATTACTGATATTTTCAATTTAAACTGATTTGCAAGGTGAGTATTAACCTTAATTTCATTGCTGGCCTATTGAAGACCAAAATAATTCCCAATCACCAAGGCTTAGATGAACCTCAATTTTAATATACTTTTTTCAGAGGAAAAAACATAAACTTAAAGAAACTGAAATTACAACTGACTAACCATAATTAGAAAATTATGCCAAAAAAAAGAGGCCTAAAAAATTGCTATTACTTAAAATGATTGACAACTGGTTATAAGACACACATTAAATGAAGAGGGTTAATAAGCAACATTCATCAATGGCTTCCTGAGATATCAGTTAAATTTTACATAAAGGCAATACTCATTTTAGATTTCCCAAGAGAATTTATTCCTAATGGTTTTAAAAGACAGCTAACTTTCTAACAAAGAGTGCTAGACAATAAGAGAATGTAATTAAAGCATTTGCTTGTTCTTATCCCCTGAATTTCCTCTCACCCCTTTTGGAATAATAGCTCTTAAAATTAGACGTTGTGCGCTTCCCTGGTGGCGCAGTGGTTGGGAGTCTGCCTGCTGATGCAGGGGATGCGGGTTCGTGCCCCGGTCTGGGAGGATCCCACGTGCCGTGGAGCAGCCGGGCCCGTGAGCCCACGTACCGCAAAAAAAAAAAAAAAATAGACGTTGTTTGATGCATATCCTGAAGGTCGCCTCTGCTGGCATTCAGCACACAAAGTGTTCAACAGATTAGTTT